TTCACTATAAAATTTATTTTGTGGACCAGAGCCAGAAGCACAGGAATGTTTCAAACAATTTACTGTAAAATTACATACAGACCACACAATCACTTAAACAGATGTTAAATTAAAGTATTTCAATCTCGCGTCTAGCAGCATGTCAAGTGGAATTTTTGAACCGGCGCGATGGGGAGACGTACCTCTCTGCCGATAAACACGGTGTTCAAACGCCAGTAAGAATTCACTTCGTTCGTAATGTCCTTTTCTAAGGTTAGAGATATTGGTCTCAGGAAGCCCGGTGAATCAAACCACACGCCGAGGCCAACTCGCACCGGATCCTCCGCGTCTTCTGACACCGTCGATAAATGTGTCAACACCTGGAGCGTGAGTGGCTCTTCAAGACCAAGCAATGCGACCAACCACTGCAGGGATGGTGTTGCAGCGGTTCTCGGATAACAGGATGCCTGAGAAGTATAGTCGAAATTGTAACAAACTACACCGGTCGCTGATCCATCGGTAACGAGGATTTTGAGCTGAACGTTCACTGAAAGGTTTAACAAACTGTCGTAAGCGTGTCCGGATAAAGCTGATCAAAGTATCGAGACAGATCCAGCCACAACTTATTCAGAGAAGCATTTTTTTTTTAAATTCAACCTATTGGCGTGGAAATATTTAAGAAATAAAACGAACCCAGGTTTCGTTGAGGTAGCTGCTGAACTAATTAGCAGCAACACATCAAACACCCCTCCCAAAAAAATAAAAAAAGTAGATCACCAAATGCATTACCTTGAAAAAACGACAATTCATTATTCTTCTGTGAACTCTCTAATACCGTTTATGAGGGCATCCTAGGCAACGATTCCAATCAAATAAATTAAATGTTACTAATGATGCTAAATTATTTGAAAAAAAAACCTTGCCAAGATCAAAAAGTCTCCCGAATTTAAATTCGCTCAGATAGGTGACTTTTGTCAACAAAAAACTGACGCACTTGTGATGGGTAAAGTAAGTCTATGGAGGACGACAATAGTTTTTGTGCTTATGCACCACCCACCGCAAACTGCGAATTAATTTTTAGCCATGTCTGAGCATTTCACGCGACTCCTTCCGCTAACAAACCGTCTGACCTCGTAGTCTAATGTCAAGTCATACACTAGGGTGGAGACGACGATGAAAACCTACGCCCAAACCATGCGTAAGGAGAAAAAACAGCGTTCTTCCGAAGCACGAGAAAATGTCAAAATGGGGTTTTGATGCTGCAAGACGAGCCATGGAAACCCTCTAATTATAGCTGGGCCATGCTGAACACTAGGGTCCGACACTGGGCTACCAAACAAGCTTTAAGTGAAAACGACTTTCACATTACGTGGAAAGAGTTACGCTGTACGTTGAGATTGCAGGCGCGTTTTACTAGCGGCTGGAGAAATACACTGAAGGAATCAAGAGGTTAGTCCAGAGAGTAAATTGAAAGTGAAGAAATCTTAATGATCCTCGCATCTAAAAAAAACTCCAAAACTTCCTATTTTGACTCCGCGAAATTCACAATAGGACCAAGAATTTTAGTGAAAGAATGAATGCAGCAAGTTAGACGAGATGCCCAAATAATAAGCTACGTTAAGCGTTAAACGTATCGCGTTAATTCGGCAGTGATTCGCAGTTGACATTTTTATGGATTAAGCATTTCAGTATGCGCAATCCTCTGTACTGATAAGTCCTTTTAAGAAAGCAAGTCAGTAGAAGACCAAAAAAAGTGTTTTTTGACGTAGCTTCATGCAATAGCTTGCTACAACATACGCATTGTAATGCGTCCTTACATGTCAGTTTGTTGACATTCTTCACTGTTTTCCGTACCGCTTTCCTCTTACTTAAGCTCCGGCAACATTTCGGTCGAAAAGCATGGATGTGATTCGGGATTATCTTCCTCAGGAATTAAAACTCACATCCAAAGTTGCAGAGACATCTCGTACAGCTTACTGCATAGCAGAAAGTGCAGTCCAAAAAGAGCTTCAATAAGTAGAAATAAAAAAGAGCAGATGAATCGCATCCAAGAAGATCTTCCTTTCTCCATGGCAAAGAATTACAAGTCGCAAGTTACATGTTAATGCACCATTAAGGTGCCGAGAAGCCTTAGTAACATCTGGTATGAGTAAATCATGCGAGTTGCTTTCGAAAGCTTTGAATTTGTCCTTTGCCTTTTCCAAGTAATTTGAAGAGAGAAGCCATGCATTTCAGGCAGTCCGCTAACCGGTTAAATTGTAGTGAAAATGGTTTTATATTTGAAAGTTCTTTAAACGACCCAAATAATACCCCACACCTGTACGGAACCATTTCATTTTTTGTGTGTAGTAATTATAGATAGAAACGGTCGTTAATGAATTCTTTTTGATGAGTAAACAGCTACACCTGAAATCTACTTGAAAAGGGTCAAGACTGGACAGTCAGTCGGTCAGTCGAAAGAAAATCTTATGCTTATGTTTACATGTCGATGCGAGACCTCACATCCTGCATCGCAAAACTCACACCGCACTTTAGAACAGGAGGTGGACATCTCATTCCCACCCCCATCCTAATCGTTCAGCATCACACTGACACCACCTTTTCATGCCCTTGGCGTCAGACAATAACATGCGTAAAAGAGAAAAAAAATGAGGCATAACCTGATTCGGTTAGGGCTAAGTTTTTTGCCGACGTCTGCATAGAATATGTTATGCACAGGTGGAAGTCTAATCGCATACCGCTACAAGTCTCGTCTGAGAACAGTATGCTTAAACGATAGACACTTCCAAACAGAAATGGACGTGTCTATAAGCAATGCATTTACTAATCCACTTATTCTAAAACGGAAAATTTACTTTAAAACATCATAGTCAATGAGATTTTGGAAAAAAAATATAGAAAATGTTAAATACTTTCCGAAAAAAAATGGTGACAATTTGAAAACGGGTAATAGTATTGTTAGCAACAAAAAAGACGTTCTCTTAGTTCCTTGCATAATTGGAACATTTTCTTTAGCATTGCCTTTTCATCTTAAGTGCTATTTAATCTATTTAGCTATTTCTGCAGCATGGAAGCGAATACACGAATGGCACACTCACCAGAGCCCTCCAGTCGAAAAACACTGAACTTCAAGCAGCGAATTATGTGTACCAGACACGTCTTTCTCCCTTTAGCTTCATACAACAAATTCATCGGCGTTAGAGGTACCAATGCAGATGGAATAACCTCGGTCGTCGTTCGCATACTCTCATGCATCGTGCAAACACTACAGACAGGGTTATTTACGCTCCCCGGGAAGCAAGAACAGAAGCAGCGAGAGATATCCGTCGAGAAGTAGGAGTAAAGACCATTCGGGGAGACCTGCAAACGGTTGGGGGAGAGAGGCAGGAACAATCGTCTGCCCCGAAGGCGCACCTTGAAGAGACAAATATGGGTGAGACACGGCAGACGGAAGAGATCGGCAGTCGCACGGGTGTCGGTAGAATTCGGAACGAAGAAGTCGATGCAGAGGGGCGAGGAAGCACAGGGGTCAATGGAATGGCGATCAATGAGCCAGAGTCTGATGCTCTGACGGTCACCGCCGTTTGGGGCGCAAAACTCGTGGCGAAGAACGTAACCCTATGGTAAGAGAGTTGGAATGTGAGCAAACAAACATCCAAGTAGCTCCCACGATTTGCATTTTCCTACGAAACAATAGAGGCAGTAAATGAAACGATGTTTTGTCCAAGCCCATTATATAACAACATATCTTACAGGATAGCTGACCTCGTGAGTTATAACTCTTATGCCCAAATGTTTTGTCCTATGACCCCAGTGAATTGAATGTGTGTTGGTTGCATAAGCCAGTCAGTACGGTGATAGATTTCTTCCCCCAAGGCTCATTGATGAATGGGCTCTAAAGTTTAAAAACGATTGTGCTGGAAGTCCAACTACAGTTACAACAGAAAATTTTAAAAATAGCTGCGAAAATGAATCACAAATACGAACGTTGAAACTGGACCTAGTTATACTTCAACTAGGGAAACTTTTGGTGTGATAATTGGTGTGCCAAATAGATGCCGCAACATCTGGCAGAGGAACGATAAGAGTAGGTGGCAGATTGTTTTCGTCACAAAGGAAGAAGACTATGTAGTACACTCCCGCATCACCATTGTTAAAAGAATGGGGAGTATATCTTAAATAAAATGTCAGACATCATTCGGCAAATATGGCTCGACTTTAGGCCAAGATTAGTTGGAAACAATTTCCTTGATTAACTGTATTCCAACGAGAATAAAAGGGCGTCTTCAATAATTACAAATTTATCTTTTTGGAAAAACTATCAAATTGCTGTTAATCACCATGACTATCATCAAGCTAGATCAAATTTCCGTTGAAGAGAGGCGAATCGACTAGCATTAACGACTGAGATTAGAAACCTTTGAAACTACTCTAAATTATTTTTGCCACACCGTTAAAAATGCACAGAATCTAGTTCTTCACAAACCATCCTTATTCGAATGAGAAGCCCTTTTAAAATGAGGTGTATAATCGTGCTACTCGGTTGGCATTGTTCAGTGCGATATGCAATTGCGATTTCCGATGCAAACATGGCCTATTCCACCAGCGAAATCCACTTCGAAATCGAGCAAACTTTTATTTGTTAAAAGAAAGTAGGCCCAAACATGGCTATGATATGTTGTGCTTTGTTTACTTTCTCACTACTTTTTGATATTTAAACGGGAGAGGAGAATAAGCAACAAAAACACACCTGAATGGAGATCCACCTTTTCTGCTGCTCTCTATTGCGAATAGTACCAACCTTGAGAAGATCCAGCACCTCTTTCACACTGAGAATGCGCCAGTGATAGAGCCCAACGAGATGATGACAAGCGCTACTCCATGGAGCGTCTTTGGGCTCCGACACCACCCGCGGACCACTGCCACCATCACAAGCACAGCAGAGGTGAATGCGGTGGCCGATATTGAAGAGACCGCTCGCGAACGCCCATAGTGCTGCAGAGCTGTGGAGCTCGAGGTGGTGAAGACTGGACGAGGACCGCCCATTGCTGTTTCCATTGTGACCACGGGCGCTCTCATATCGTATGGTGAAGGAAGTAGGAGGATTTGTAGGAGAGGACACGTAGCGCAGAAGAATGGGTTCTGCCACAACCTCAGCCAAATGCAGCGAAGGTGGATCTCTTGCGCTGACAGTGTCCACAGATACGCTTTTCAGAGCAGCATCACAAATCACACAGAGACGTGGAAGTGTGGCCAGGCTTAAAACAGTGAAAGGAAGAGAGAGGACAAATAGGCCAACTTTCGCGGAATTAAAACGGTAGCATTCCATATCGTGAAGCAGCGTGAATATTTTTGTTGACAACTGCTTGGCATAGTCCCTGGCTATTTTGCTTTTATAATCGACGTCCAATATGTCCAGATATTATCTGTTTTGAATAAATACTTTGCAAACATTATAAGCCGATGAACAGATGACAAGTAGATGGGGCTAATCAAACTACTACAAGTAATCTGAGTATCGGCAGTTGTAGCTGACAAAGAAATCTCAGCATTAAAAGCACTAATCATGATGGGGTCATTGCGAGTCCTCACAGCCCTTCACCACCTTACCAACGCCCAAAAGCGCGAACAACAGTCGATGTCTCACTACTCATGGCTGCGACGACTAAGCGGGGTCGTCTAATCAGTACCACCTCGTTGAACAGGCTCCGCATCCCCAAATCAGTCATAGAAGGAGACAAGAGTAGCAGGGGAACACTTGCCGACTGTTTTGAGATAAAAACCGGGCCGATCGTCAGTGCTCCAGTAACTGCCTCCATGCCTAATCGACCAATCAAAATGGTCTCCTGGGGTGTTACGCGTGGCTCAAAAAACTGAAAGGTTCTACCGCTAGAAGACAAAGGATGTTAAAGTTAGTGTTATTCGATGAAGTAGATTGCTCGGATGCAAAGGGAGCATTATGCATTGTACTTGTGATGACATTGGTTTTGATAAATGATAAGGTCTAAATGTTTATATTTGCGACAGGGAAGGAATAGGTTGGTCGGCTATGGATTAAACGGGGTCAAGGTCTACTCCATGAAAATAATGCCAATGAAACGTGTGATAGTAAAAACCTCAAATTAATCGGCTCTCCAGCTGATTGGAACGCAGAGCTGACGTCGTTGAGATCGCCTGTGGTTAAAAGGCGATGGCCTAAGTGTGGTGAAGGCGCGTGTTCGTGCGGACGGATGAATTTGTCAGCAAAACGAATAGCAGGTGGGGTCTCGATTCGCTTCACATTATCAAAAAGGGCATTGAAAGCAGACTCAGCCCAAAGAGAGGCCTTTTCTTGACAATCACTGTCCATCGCATCTAAGGGCGGCTGCAAAAAGAAGTGGGAGTGTAATTAAGCCAAAATTCAGTTTTGTAACTTTAGCAATAAAAAACTGACAAATTCATTTCCAGATATCTTTAGACTGAAATCACCGAAAGGGACAAGGGTTTACCGCTTTCATGAACGGTTATCCAAGTCAGAAGGCTGTAAAAAGCCTTAAAACCGATAAAATTATGGGAATCGTTTTCAAATGACTTCATTAAATGAATAAATTGCTTTTGAAACTAAAAGAACTGGTTAAATGCCTGAAAGATACAGGCGATATCCCTAGCGAACTCGAACGTTGGTTGATGTACAATGAACATTAATGATCATTTCCTTCTTTTTGTTTCAACAAAGCGCTTTCAATAATCAGGCATTGTCTTCTCCTGCCTATATTGATTTAATCAATCGTGTCTCCTTGACCGCACACCTCCTTGATAATCATTTCCCTCAACCAACTATTGCAGGCTCATTTCGATCAGGGTTTTGTATCAAACAGTAGGGACAGTGAGAAGATAATCAGGTGTGATTTAGGCACAATAGGCGCCACTATGCAAAAGTTGGAAACATAAAGCAGCTATTGTTTTTTGTGATTTGCACTTTAGAGCATCAGATAATTCACTGCACCACTACACTGGGTGTTTGTGAAGCAATTTTCACTATACATAACATGAAGAAATCATAAACGACAAATTTCAATCGCCTTTAATCCATTCTACTTCAAGAAACTAGAAATAAATAGTGATTTGGTAGTTGATATAGGTTATCAACCCACAAAAAGATTCCAACCGCAAACATAAACAAAATAAAGGTATGAAAAGGCGTCGACTGCTAAGAGTGAAATCTAACCTTTTAACACGAAAAAAATTAAAAAGACCTTAAAATGAATTGTGGTTTATGTAGGAAAAAACATTTTAAACCAATCAAACTAATAAGATATATCATCGAATACTGCGGCAGGGAATAATCCACTTTGCATTGCAGTTAGTCAGATGAAGTCATGAACTGAGGGTGAGAAGGATGATACTTGGCAGATTATTGAAAAAAACTACATCGCGACCCATCAGTGTGAAGTTGAAGGTATAGAGGTAGATTCGACTGCAAAATGAGTCGATGCGCAACCGTCAATTAATGGAAAACAAGTGTACTAAGAAGATATCCACTTTGTCATGTGCTTTATAGTTGGTCACTCAACACACACAAGCGAGTTAGAGACATAAGAGAAACGCCAAAATCAATTAACAACGAAGTTCAACGACCTAGACACTCAATCCGAAAGCCCGTGAATGAGAAAAAGAACGCAGTTTGCATTCCACCCATCAAACTGGAATCAAGAAACAGGTGGCTGAAAAGTGAACTCAACAAAGAATACTTTACCGAGCTGGCAACTGGACTAGTTATTTGCCACAGGTCCAACAAAAAAGTTCTAGAACATGGATGCCATTGTTCTCAGTTCACCACATGAAGCATATTGATATCAAGAATCAGCAATACTAAAGTATAATTCAACATATGGTACTCTATCAATCTTCAAAACGGTAGCCAATGTGTTTCATCACTTAACAGAGATCCGAACAAGCTCACGGGGCATAAAAATACTGGCCATGGAGAGGAAATGATACCTGTTTAAAAAGTGCTCAACAAACGCTCGATAATCAACTTGGTAGACTGTGGTGCCTGTTTAAAATCTTCCTAAGTAGGTAAGAATAAAGTCTGAGGAAGTTAACAATACCTAACCATCGTGCAAAAAAATGATACTTAGGAACTTGAGGTACGAATTAGAAGGCGCATTACCGTAAAAATCTTCATCAAAGCGAGACGCAAAGCACTATCAGCAGGCGAAGTAACATCAAGATGAAGAGGGGAAGAGGGAAAAGTAGTTAAAGAACCACTTTCACTTCGCCAGGAAGTAAAAATCCCGGGCTGAAGGTAGCAACTCCCAAAAATCCACAAACCGAAGACACGTATCCGAAGGCCAGGTGATAGTGGAGAGGAGGAGAAAGAGTGTGTGTTAAGGAAAGCTTCTCGGCCAGCATTATTGCCGCAACCGTAACACTCAACCGCACAAAAGTGTCGGTAGGAGCCTGTAACATTCAAATCGATACACGGCAGCAGATTTGTTGGCCAGTTTGGGCAGATATGCGTAGTGGAGGGGACAAGATTGGAACCGGTCAAAACGATTTGCAATGTACTCCTTTCCGGTACGTAGCGCCAAACCGTGGCCTCATTGAGCTATAAAGTTAATGAATCGGATTTACCTAAGGTCAGGTTAAGTGTCGACACATCTACCACACCACAATGGCCATAAAATTCATTATCACTTACAGATCTTGACTGTAGTTGCTGCCATTCGAATAAATATTTCAAAGTATGCCTATGAGAGTGCCCGCTCGAAGTAATATCATGATAGTTTCGAATATTAGGCCCATCGTGGCGTAGAAAACCCAAAAATCACTAAATATGATTGACAGTTGGGGGTTGAACCAAACAAATAGTAGTAGGCTATATTTGGTTCCATTTGTTTTTAAAGAGGGGTTCTAATTTTGTGATAAAACAGCCACATACTAAAGTTAAGCTAAGAGCGAGGTGAATAGCAACGGGCTAAAGGCGCCGACGTTGAAAACAGATGCCATGATTCAAAACTGCATTCAACTAAACAGTGGGTCCACATCAATTACCCCACTAACTACTAAGAATGCATCAACTTCAAAAAGCCAAGATACAGAGAGCAAAGGAATTAAAGATGTAGATAAATTGGGCGAAAGACGGAACATATTACGACTAATAGCGTCTTTAATAACATGCGATTCAGCGGGTTAATGGACTAGTAGACCATCCATGAGAGTACTACTAAAATGCTGCGCACATACCCAAGTATTAAAGTAACACACAAACAGCATTTTAAATTGGGCTAAAACGGGGTTACCTGACCACTAAATAGTGTAGCTCGATCGAGACCATGAAAACGAACACGCTGATGCATCCACCTATCGAGTGATGCGATAAAAGCCTCTCTATGCACACGAAAGGATTCACTTTCATGTGGTTTGTGGGTAATAAGAACGTTGTAGATGGGTTTAGTACAGAGACAGTTGAGAGAGGTCGTAACTTTCACAAAAGTATTATGTGATGCTCCAACAGTGAAAACTGGACTGCGAAATTGGATGAAACCCTCAATTCCACCAGCCATTCCCCCACCAGACACAAAATACGGGATCTGTGGGGTGGAATTCTGATTTATGTACGAGGAAGGTCTTTCAGGAAAAAATGAGCAGTAAGCGGACGAGGATCTTCCCAAAAAGGCGCAGTCAAATAATTCGCAGCAGTTGTGGCGGTTATGTCGGTTGAAGGTTGAACCGAAAAACGCGTTAGAACGCGACCTACCTCCAACCAGATTCGAAACACAGAACCGGACAAAGAGCCATCACGAACCGTCAAACAACTGTAAGCCGCTCATTTACCAGCCACCGCCAAATTCAGTCGATACAAACATATTGCTACAGAGGTACCATGACTGCAGTACCCACTTTAAGCAAAAAAACTTGGACAAAAAATAGTTTCAAATCTTCGCATACTAAAAACGGTAAAAAAGAAACATGTCAAACAAGCAAGAATAGCAGATCCTATAATTATGGCCGGAACCATAAGTGTACTATTAGTGATGCTGTACCTATACAAATAAGTAAACCACTTCGGCCTTAAACAACTCTTTTCTACATTCTAGTAGTTATAAAATTTGTGCTTTTAAAGACAGAACACATGCGAAACCCCTATTCTACACTTTTTTAGTAATTACATTAGACATTTTTAATCTGCTCAACCTACACGAGTCCGAAAACGGTTCACTTAATTGCATGTTATGTTTCTTTCGTCACCTTGTTTTTAAATGCAGACATGCTGCTCCTGCTCAATTTCTGGCAAATTCCTTAATTGAAAGCCATTATTTACTATAACGCAGAAAATTCTAAAGGCCATGCCACTACGATAGGATTACTGGTTATGGCAACTGACAAATGATTTTCGGTTTTCTTTTTGCTCTCCCGTATTCATTCAAAGTGCCACTGCCCACGCTATATTTATGTGGCCTACCTTCTCTGCTATAACGAGAATCACTTAAAAAGGAATTAGTCACGGGCAAAAGTGAATGCGAAATTATAAACCATTGTCACAAGGGAAGAAATTTTTGGCTACGTTAGTGGCGGCACCCATTGTTAATTTTACGGTTTTCCGCTAAACGCATATTCCTAAAGTTGGGTCGTGCATAGTTTAAATTGGAAGATAGTGCCCACGATTAAGCACTTTTGTAGGGACATTCACCTAATGCCAAAAGTAATGGGTAAAAAACAGTGCTCTTGATTCATGGTATAGATCATTAAGTTCAAAAGCATTTAATAAGCATTTAGTCAAGGCCAGATTTGACAAATGCAAAACTGGTCTTTCCTCTGCTGGCTACTCTGTAGAATTTGAAATCAGATATTGTCAAAAGTCCATTCCGTATCGAAATGCCAACCAGCCAATAAAAGTAATATTTTTCATTCCTTGAACTGAGTTCCTTACCTGCGCAACAGATGCATTTTCTTCACAAAGGTCGCATTGCTTTAGCACAACTGCAGCACCCCGAGAATTTTCTGAAGTCAAAGAAATACATATTACTCGGGCAGAATATATGCATTGGACGTGCAGTAGTGTGGCGTCCCGAGACTCCCTGAAGACGGAAGAAGACACAATACTCGGGCAGAATATATATATTCAGCACGAAGAAGGTGTCTGGGCTATTGGCATGACCCAAAAGGCCAGTCCACCCAGCGAGGTACAAGGGGGCTAATTCAAAGTACAAAAGTGGCGCCTCACCGGAACCGAGGGATAAACCACTATTGTGTTACAGTAGGGCTGGGGATACTGATCTTGCCCGGAGGCTAGCCCACAAAGCCAAGGTACAATGGCCACGACACAAAGTGGTCCTTTACCAAAACTGAGTTAACCAAAGTAGCGCACAGTCCCCCTCCTCTTTTGAGTGTTGTCTCTGGCTCTCGCCTCGTTCAACCTCCTGTAACTACCGTCACAACGCCATCGGTGCTGTAAGGAAAACACCCACGCGCCATCCGCTCCAGTCATCGAATTTCCGTGCAACTGAGAAGATACTTGATTGCGGTATCACTGATGCTCCTTGACAATTCACCCAAGTCTAGAGTCTTGTTTTATATGGGAATTGCGTTCAGGAACGGGGATTTG